GCTCTTTTAGAATCTGTTATTATCGTCTTCGAATTGCGATCCGTGGCAGCAAGCGCTATCGCTACTTCCTCAGCCCACTCTGAAATTTGTGCTCTGAGGGCATGGAGCTTTCCTTCCTCCATGTCTGAAGGAGAGGCCGTTGACGTGCATTCCCTGGTGAACTACAGCGGACGTGTAAAATCCCTTGGGCGTCGGCCCTGCTATGTCAACGGAGTACACACCAGGTCGGGAACCATGTTGTCTTTCAAGCGTCCGAGCCCGCGCTTGTCGCCTGCTTTCATGCGTGTGCGTGTCCATACCGGAGAGACCCAGAGCATTGAGCGCCAAAGTTCTGGAATACGCTCCACCTCCTCTGTAGTGCAAGTGTTCTGAATATGTTTAAACGATTGAGCAGGCGGTGCCCGAGGGGCGTCTGCATAAGCCGTGTATAGTTATTTATGAGGTGCGTCTCCCGCAACTCCTGGTAGGAGTTGAGCACACTCTACGCCCTCAGTTTTGTTGGGAGCGTGACAGAGGTGCGACACAGAACACCTATATACTACCACTTGGAGGGGCTTCGGACAGAGACGCATCCTCGTACCGAAAGCACTAGGAGAGCGAACTCAGCCGAGCCCGCGAAGACCAGATGTGGGCCGTCCAGCAGGCCGAGGCAGCCGCCAGAGCTCAAGGGTTCGTGGCCAACATTTAGGCGGGGATAATCACCCAGATCTTGTCTGGTCGCCTAGAAGATCTTGGCTCATACCCACAAGGAGGACTGGCCACACTGTACCTTATAATAGATATTTTTTACAACGTTTGCTAAAAAGAGATAAATTAGATAAGAACAATATTAATGTTTCTATGAAATTACGTGAAAAAGGGCACAATTCTATAAACCAGAATATATAAAAAATTAACAAGAATGAAGAAGGGGGACAAAGAATTGGATATATCTGGCAGTACCACTAGCAGCGTATCCTTCCGGTTGCCTGAATGAATTTATGTAGCGCTGACAGAATAGCACTGCGTCCCGCACCCAACAGACTGGCTCCAAACGATAATAGGGTGGATGTATTAACTGGCAATCCGAGCATACTCGGAATAACTCGACGTACCTTTTCTTTTTAAAAGGACGCTTCTCTATCTCCCTCAAAAGTAAGGCATCTATATGCCATAACTGCCAGGCCTACAATTGACATATCCTTAAACCGAGAACACGTCATTAGAAAAAACTGGTCGTATAGTTTTTTTTTAGCGCACAGATTCGAATTGTGCGTGTACCTAATGATTGTTGGAATTTAAAGTCCCAAAACCATCGTACGATCATAAGATCCAGACGCCGTTTAGTGGAAGGCTCCGGAAATTTCGCATCTGGAGTTCGTTAACGCGCACTTAAACCTATAGGTACACGGGCTACAAGCACTTTCCCCTCTATTGAAAATTCGGCAGCCGCGGCGAGTATTCGATCCCGCGACCTGGCAGGCGGCAGTCGATAAAATTGTGTTTAACCCCTTGCGTTTGTGCTTAGCCATTGAAACATCTAATTTCAACACTGTCAGGTGCATTAATGATGTTCTCGTAAAGGGGTGGTGCCATCAAATTTCGAGGCTGTAGCAAGCCACCGTATGCAAGGTACACGGACGGTCGGACACAGAAAGCGTTTATTGATTGATTGATTTGTGGGGTTTAACGTCCCAAAACCACCATTTGATTATGAGAGACGCCGTAGTAGAGGACTCCGGAAATTTTGACCACCTGGGGTTCTTTAACGTGCACCCAAATCTGAGTACACGGGCCTACAACATTTCCGCCTCCATCGGAAATGCAGCCACCACAGCGCACAGAAAGCGTTTAGAATATATTTTAAAGGGGCCCTGCAACACTATTTGAGCATGGTCAGAAAACGCTGCCCAACGGTAGTAGAGGCTCCCGACAACACGCGACCCAAATTTTATAGCGCAGAATGGGGCCTGGAATTCACAATAAATTATCATAGCTAAAAATCGATTTCTCTTTTCTCGACAAATCACGGAAGACGCTCAAAAATCACTCGCAAAAAGGCCATCTATCGGCCATTGGCCGATTTGAACATGGCGTGCTCGATCGTTACAGATATCGCCGCGGGAGGCCGCAACTTGCCCACGTAAGCTAGGGTGCCTTGATGCGCGCGCCGAGCGCCCTAATGTAAGCGCGCGCGACCACACTGAAAAAGCCGCACATTCAAAGAAAAAAAAAAAGGCGCGCGTGACGTTTTTCTTTACCTCTGCCATTTCTCCCTGCTTAGCTTCGAGCGCTTTCGTCGGAACAAGAGAATGCGACAAATCTTTGAACTCCACTCGCACCCGACGGATTAAAATTTTTGCGGCGTTGAATACGTGAGGCAATAAGCTCTTCCTGTGAATTCATTCCATGGTTACCCGTAAAAGTGTTTCACGGCACCTGTATAACTTATCCTGGGGTACGTCACAGCGTGACGTCATCGGCGCACGTGCAAGATAGGGGGGGGGGGGGGGGGGGGTTGGAGAACAACCTTGCTGATTGCTCGGCGTGGTACGGTTCGAAACAAGTTGAGGACGAGCATCAAGCGTGTTTGTGAATAGAGCTAACTGGGTTCGAACTGATAAGGGAGAAGAACAGGCTAAAGGTCCAATGCCTCCGTCCTATGAAAAGACAGGATGGATGGATGGATACATGGGGTTTAACGCTTTTAATTAAAGCAGAGACGTCGTTTGCATATGCCTTCCATCGCCTCACGATTCTGTCGCAGCCACTGTTGCCTTTCCCGTTTCCTAGTGTTCTTTTGTTGAACGTACGGGGGGGGGGGGGGGGGTCTTTGGCTTCCTACAGTAACTTCACAGCCATTTGTTAGGCTCAATGCTGCCTTAACAATTTTAGTGGTCCAGTGGCGAACGGTGGGATTCACCCAATTTCAGTGGTGCATAACCATAACGACTTTTTCGGCTGCAGGTGAACAGGTAAAGAATTCATAAACAGCATCCCTGTTAAAAGGAACAGCACCAGATGTGCAATGTTTACTCTCATCTTGCAATGGTTGGCACAATTCTCCGAAAATAAAACCGGCCTTTTTTTGGGGAGGTTGAACAAGACAATATCGGGCGCCATGTCATATTAATGGCACTGCAAACCAGATTCGCTTTAGCAAAATGAACGAACCATTCTTGTAATGCCCAGAGGCAGTTCTGCCTCAGAAAAATAGTGAAAAAGTACTTGCCATTTACACTATTCTTGTATAGTTCATCTCAAGAACAAAATGAAGAAATTTAAGGCTTTAATTAATGATAATTCGGATAAATGTGTACATTGCAGTTGGTGTAACTTCATTATATCACAATGTGAAAAATACGAGACTTTTTAATCATTGCTCTAAATGTGCTCCACTGAGATGAAACCGCACTTATTTCACCCATAAAGAGCCCTTTACAGTTGAATCCACCAGGCCAGTGCAATCACAGACACAAATGAACCTTAAAATTTATACCGTGCATATGCACAAAACAGAAAATTCACGAGTGCCCCAGCTATCATGCAATATTAAAAAAAAAAAAAGCATTATGCAAGGCAAACCTAGTATTTGTTGTTCCTAGCACACTTTGACAGCCACTAGTAATTTTTCATGAATAGTTAATTGTATTAGTTACTACGAAAGTGCTCATTTATCAAAATTTCAATGCGGCATATGAAGGAAAGTTCAAATAACATGGAGCTGCAGGATTTTCAGTAACGTATTCAGCATGCACTCATATTCTTGTTGATGCAGAAACCCTGCAAAGTATAAAAAATATGTTACCACCCGCATGGAAAAGCAGAGCCCTCAAATAAGCTTGCTGTAAAGAACTACTTTGCCTCTTGTAGGTTGCCCCAAACAGCGTTCCGCATTTCGGTTATGGTACTGGTCAGGCACCAACATCCGCTCCAATTTTGAAGGGGATTCCTTTAGCTTGATTGCACACCACTCATCCATATCTCATGACCAACTGTTTTTTTTATAACATGGCTGGAGCACTGGTGAGATTATAGCAGGGAGGGGGGGAGCAAAAAACGGCAGTCTTTTTTTCCCCTTTTGCTCCTGTATTTCTTCGTTGATATTGGCTATCTCAGAGAGTTCATTCAAAGGCTCTGCTTGTGCAAACAGCAGTCTCGTCACCCCTCAGGTTTTGAATTTTCAAGGGCTTTCTTTACAAACAGGTTGATTGATTGATATGTGGGGTTTATTGTCCCAAAACCACCATACGATTATGAGAGACGCCGTAGTGGAGGGCTTCGGAAATTTAGACCCCCTGGGGTTCTTTACCGTGCACCCAAATCTGAGCACACGGGGCCTACAACGTTTCCGCCTCCATCGGAAATGCAGTCGCCGCAGCCGGGATTCGATCGCGCGACCTGCGAATCAGCAGCCGAGTACCTTAGCCACTAGACCACCGCGGCGAGGCAATGTGGCCTCAATGCGACTCTGAAATCTGAATAGAGAAAATTTTTAGACTGGCGAAGCATTTTGGCACAGCGCGACACAACTTGCGCATTTTCGGGTCGAACTGCACAAAACCATAAAATTTGCTCAACTGTATCTAATTTGCACAACTTTTGCACCCCTGCTTACAGCAAGCTTGTCTGTCCAGTGCCTTGCACGTTTGCGGCGCAGCAAAATAGCCTTACTTGCTTGCGTCGAAAGGTTTGGTGGCTGCCCCGAAAACTGGAGTTTGCTGAAGGTTACATCTTGGTACAAATTTTGACTTTAGGTTATTCTCCCTCAGCTCAGCTCTAAATAATGTACAACATACAGTACACATGCTATCATACAGGTCTCTTTCCTTTCACCCGGGATGGGATTTCATCCACTAAAGCTCTGTACTACAAGCTGTGTCACAATGTACAAGAACCTCCTGGAATACTGCCACCAGTTACGGAGAATGTGTGCCTAATGCAAGTGAAAACCAACTACTACGTTGCAGCAGCACTAGCGGAAGCACCGGCAGTCAAGCTGAAAAGCACAGCAACTCATGTACAGAGGATCCGCACACTTTATTCATGCACGAGACTTCAATAAAACAATGAGTGCACTGGTCTTTCTTCACCCCCCCCCCCCCCCCTTCGGAGCACCACCCGGGTGGGCCGTGTCTGACATCTATGAGGCCGAAGCATGGGGCTCCAGGCTGGGCGCCTTTTTATGAAGCTCCAGCCTTAGAGCCTTCTTTATTTCATTTTTTAAGGGGAAGGTGAGGGTTTTGCATGCTTTTAAAAGTTAAAGCTTATTTACACATAAAAATTATAAGCAGTCGATTAAAATGTGTACAATTATAATACAACATGGTTGCTCATCAACGAAAAAGGAAGAAGCAGGAGAGTCGAGACAGTCAAGAGGTTCATTTCACGGGCCGCTTGATGTTCATACTCATTTTTTCTTCCTCAGCCAAGTGTTGTTGGAAGCCCGTGACCTTTTCTGAAAAGGCAAAAAAAAAAAAAAAAAAGTGTGACAGAGTCAACGGTATAGTTCCGACAAACTTCTGTGCCTCGAATGGGTTGGTCACAGTTCTAAGCTCCGAAAACTAAACGCTACAGAAGTGGCCATAATTGGACAGTGAAAAGCGAACGAGAAGGCATCAACAGGAATATTTCAAAATAATTACTTAAGCCTTGCCAGGACACGTGCTAGGTTCTACCATAGAGCTCGAAACATGTGGGCCACAGCCTGGCCCGTACACTCTATGTCCAAATTTAATTTTTCTTTTTGAAGGATAATCATAAGCTACACATACATGACTGGTGCCAATTACTATATCACAAACAAACATTTTATAGCAGAGTTGAGACAACTAGATACAACTAGAGTGTCTACTTGCCCTGGATGTAACCCTTGCCCCACAGAACCTTTTAGCTCGAAACTAAACAAATGCATACACAAATACTTGGACAGGGGTGCAAAATTCATCTGTTCCATTAAATGTACAAGCTGGGTTTCTCTTTGGCAAGCGGGGTACAAAGCTATAGACTAGTTCTTTGGTAGGGAGAGTGCAAATAGCTTACAAATGTATACTGGCTGCATTGATTACCTTAGGGATATTTGTGAACAACAAGAGTTGTGGTCTTTCATCACACTTGCAGCAGCGATTGCTACAATGCAGCAAGAATGACACAGTAGTTCAGCATTGCCCAGTCATGCATGCTGCCATGATTTAAACCTTGTAGCACTACAAAAAACAGAAGCCTTCAAGAAAACGGGTCATTCTAAGGCCCTAGCATTATGGCTACACAATGCACATTCGCAAATGCCAAACCTTACCATTGAACTTGGACAGAACCTCCATTTTCTCAGCAAGCAGATCCTTGAGCTTTTGCACGTACACTGAAAAGGACATGAATAGATGCTAAGCAACGCCAATTGCCACGAGAGTACAAACAGTCGTTACTGCTAGTTGTCTCGGCTTCGTTACAGGGACCCCCCCAATGCTTTTGCAGCGCCCGATTGAACACACAAACGGCTCGTGCCAGAACTATTGCGGGCACAAATAACTAAACAGGCCTGCGATTAGATAACTGTAAGTTTAGAAGTGATGGTGGCATAGCATCGAAACAGATTACTGGAGAGTCTGGATTCAATTAAAAATCGGAACACGAGTGGACACCATTGAAACAAAAAGGTCACTACGACTAAACAGCGCAACAGAGGCGGTGCTAACTACCCATTTTGGCTCTGGATATTTTGCTGGCACAGGTCAGATGTGCATACAAAGGGCATGTCTTCTTGGTTATGTGTGTTTGTGAGCTGCCTTTTTTCGCTTCTGCAGTAGACTTGATTGTTGAAGCAGTGCTATAATCCACTCCACTGAATGGAACTCTCTGCGCCCTGGTAGTTTGACAAATTTTGTTCTCAGAATTGCAACATTCCAAGGCACTACGTTTTGTCTAAGAAGGGCAGACAATAACTCTGTGCAACTGCAGCGCCCAACAAATCTGCAATCTGGCATTGTGTTTGCTACTACAGCAACGACATCGCCAAACATTGAAAAGGACAAGAAACAATGGTGAGAGAGCTTTCCCTCTGTAGAAGCTTCCACTTCATTTCATTGGGGCACCACCCATTATCCCAGAGCGAGTGAAATGTGATCGTGTGAAAAGCAAGTTTAGGGTAGGCATTTTTCCTTTATTTTTAATTGTGCAGTTATCGCTGATGTTTTTGTTCACAAAATGCCCGTACTTCAGCCTATAGAACATGAGTAAAAATAGAGGTTTAAGCAGTTTTGGGGAGCCCCTTTACAGCCTGAAAATTTGGTGGAACCAGACCTTTAAAGAGGCTGCTGCAGGATTCTTCTGTATGGAAAGACCTCAATGTGTTGGACTTTGCATATATTTAGAGTATTTCAATTTGCTTCTAAAGTGTGTCTGAATTCTCATTCTCTCAATAGAGGGCCCCAACGCTAGCATGCACGACCAGCGTCGTTGCATAGGAAGTGTAACCAAAAATTTAGGCAACATCTGACCTTATAAGAGGTGCTTGCGCGGTGACCCTCAACAAACCTTCAAATTTTTGGTTGCACAGTTCCTTGCTTTCGCATACAGTCACTGTAGCCATAAATTGAAGACTTGATAGGTAGGGCTATCGGGCGGCGCCAAGATGAACAAGGCGAGCACAGAATTGCCGGAGATATCGTAAAACCCGAAATATAGGTCGAATAAAAAAAAATGCAATGAAAGTCAACCCTCATCTTATATACCGGTCATCGGCAGAAACAAATGTGGAAGTCTTGCAACAATGAGCAGCTGAAGTTGAAGCTGCCTCCACTGCCATCATGAGCATCAGCAGCATTGGGCAAGGCCTACAGTTTTCTAGAAATGCCATTTTGCCTCTGTTATCTGCTGCCAAACTGCTGCTTTCTTTTTTCTATTTCCTTCAGAAATCAGCGACAGTGGACAGTAGTTTAGGATAGGCCTGAAGAAAAAAAAGGTTATCAAGTATGCCAAAGTGCATGGCAACTTAGCGGCACAATGGAATTCGGCGCATCGGAGAAGCGTCTGATACTGGAGGAGCCCAAAGCAGAGCACGTAACATCCTGCAGAAAAAAAAAAAAAAGTTTCATGGACGAAGTGCAGTGCACACTAAACTGGAAGCACTACTCGCCGAATGCGTCGGGGAGTTGCATGCAAGGTCGCTACCCGCAACAGTGGAGCGCATCCGGGTGAAAGCTCTCAAGATATCGCGCGACTCTGAGCTAACGAGGGCGAGATTCAAGGGACCGCCATCGTGGGTGCGCGAATTTATCTAGCGAAAGGGCTTTGCACTGAGGCTGTGTACTTCAGTCTTTATAAAAATGCTGCATCAGCAACGCATTGGAAGGAACGGAGGACGATGCACTCTCGGACGTAACTAGCGAAAAACAGACATTGTGTGACTCAAGTTCGGACGAGCCAGAGTTACAGCACTTCGTGGCCTTCTGGCATTCAACTACACAATATTAGAGCCCAAATAAAACAAAAAATGTCACCACAGTGCAGCTGGTTGTGTCGCGTATTTATAGCAACGTAAGGGTGCGCCCCGATACTTTGGATATCCGCAATTTTTTTTTTAAATCGCAAAGTTGGCAGGGTCCATGTATATTCCGGTCCAACCTATATTCAGATTTTTTACAGTAAGTAATGTGCAATTTCGCTGCAGATATAAATTCTTGACTGTAGAAATACTACTCATTCGGAACTGTGTTAAACATTTTCCGCCACGGTCGCACAGTGAAAACGAAGCAACGCACCCATAACTGTGGTTGCACAAAGAGCCGCAAGATGTGGATACAATCTCGCAGTTAACTGGTACTACACAACTATCTCTGCGTCTGCTGGAATTCCGCAGGCACAAATATTGTAAAATACAGAATTTCGGCACATTTTGAAGGTATCGCGACAGTTTCGGAAGAGAGAGAAAGATAACGAGGTTGCTCCGAGCAGCTTTGTGGTGCTACGGGTTTAAGCTTCATCCACAGCGACATCACTGTTAAACTACTCAAGGTCTTGGTTTCTGTGTGTAGTTCATGTAAACGACGAGACGGAAAGTTTCGCAAGAATACGTGTATCTTGGAGAATACTTTCCAGAGGAATAAGAAACATTGGCAACAAGGAATGTATGCATATTCACTTTGATTCGAATGTAAATTGTTGATTGAAAATTTTGAAGCATTCGGAGCGAACGAATAGGTGTATATTGGCCTGCTTGTAACCTCCTGCAAATGTGGTCTCACTGCAGCAGAGGGGTGCGAAGCTGTGAAAGCACCTGTTTAACTGTACATCGATTCACATGAAGTGTCCTGTACAGGTGGTTTCACTGCAGTGAAAAAGTGCCAAGCTGTGAAAACAACTATAAAAAAAATATCTGCATTGCCACGAAGCCCTACTTCAATGTTGAATGAACATGTTACCCTCGCATCGATTCATTATTCTTTTTTCTTGAAGTTTAAAAGCTTCTTGCACTGCCTTATATGCTCCATATATAGTAGGCCTTTGTCCTTTCTGCAGTGGACGAAGTCAGGCTGATGATGATGTATAGTAAATTTTAAAACTATGTATTTTACGGATTATCACTTGCATTTTGTCAAAAGTCAAATCACGCTACTATTCCAATTCATTTACAGGTTTTTTTTTTAACTAAAAATAGCATTTGCACAGGCCTTGTTTCAATTTTTGAAATATATTGTGCATGTTAGTTGGGTTATAACAATTATGGCAATTTTACTTACAATATGCAACATATATTATTAGAATTAGATTTGACATTATTCAACCGAAATCTATTTCCTTTGAATTCGCTTCAAACCTAAAATTTTCTATTCACACAAGCCTACTAAAGAAACAAAAATCACGCTATGATCACAAGCCCTAAAAGTCGCTAGCGTGCGATGTACAGGGGGGAGAGAGGGGAGTCTGAAATTCACAGGCATCTATTTTATATATTCATATAAGAACTTGGCCTGTTAACTTTTGACCAGGACTGTACATCACCATGAAAGATTATGTGTACTATTGTAAGGAGCACAACATGAAAAGGTCCCTCTGGGACTGCACTTGCGACAACAGTAGTTGCAAGAACATACCACGATCGTCTGTAAAATAGTGCTTTTGCGGAAGTCCCTGTGTTACACAAATGCAACTGTGGTTTCCTTTAACAGCAACGTGTTTGTGCCAGGCTTGAATGCCAATGTAAGAAGACGGGTATTAGCGCAAAGGCCATGTCAAGTTGAGGCACAAGTAATAAAAATTGGCACAAGTAAAAATATAAAAAGTACAAGTCATCAGGGCATGCTTACAGTCAAGGTCGTAGTCTACTTCATTTGTCATAGTAAGGAGGTCCATGTCTTGATGCACCCATTGCTGGCTGGCCTGAGAATCGATGCAAAAAGTAGGACATGGTTTCACACTAGTCTGCATTTAATAGCCAATTATGAAAGAGCAAGAGTCAGCTCATTACAGGCTACTTCATGAAAGCACTTTGAAAAGCCACGCCAAGGTAGTGGCAAAGACGTGTTGTACACACATGCATACAAGACAAACACACATGCAGGACAAGCAGACAACTAATAAAAGCTTGCTTAATGTTTCAATAAGTGACATCTGCTATTTGTAGACTACGTACGCACACAGTTGCAAAACAACACAATTTCTTGAAAACGTTATAACTTTCATTGTACCATCCGACTACCTCCCCATACATGCCTGGCACTGAACTATGACCATACTGTATTTACTCGCGTAACGAAGCCACCATCTTTCAGAAAAGTTGACGCCAATTTGGGGGGAGGGTTCATTATGCGGGAGAAAAAAAGAAAGTGTAGGTATAACAGTAAAAATTTCACATGACTATATTAAAATCTGTCCAACCACTGCTGGCCTTTAATAAGCTGGCTGTGATGACTCCTTGGGCTGCACAGCACATTTTTTTCAGTCGCTTGCCGAATTTGTGAAGTGTGCGGAACTTTCGAGCACGGTTCAGCATCTCGATTTAGATCGCAAAACTGCAAAACTTTTGAAAAGGCGGTGACAACGCGCGTGTGATCACCAGTGTTGTCAGTCCCCGCGCTCCAATCACAAGCCGCTGTTCGCTTACGTGACTGCTATGAACTAATGATACCGCATGGTTTTGTTGTTTGTTTTTGCCTGGAAGCGCAGACTGGCTGCAGCATTGAAGGTTCGTTCCTGGCGGGAAAGCGAGCTGAACAGAAGCTCTTTCAAACGAGACTAAGACTGCTGCAATCCGATGAGTGGTTAGCGCCACAGAGTTTCCCAAAATTAACTAGAGGGTACTCTAGCGCTGCAATCGTTCAGCGACCATGGGAATGATGGGTAGTACATACATTTGTCTAGTCTTCGTACTTGCGGGCGGCGAATCGTACTTGCGGCTTCGTTTATCGCTGGTTACGGTTTTGTTTTGAAGAGGAAAAAAAAAACGAGCCCTTTTGAACTTTGTGACCCGATTCAATATGGTAAGCCTAAAAGAATAAGGTTGTTAAGTGCAAACGCTTAACATATGCTAATTTATGTTTTCGTGAAAAAACAGCTCCAAGCCACACAAACACACACTGAGCCAGAAGCAGGCCAGAAGTACGAAAATTAGACAAATGTGTGTACTACCCATCATTCCCATGCTCGCTGAAGCGCTGTGTGTTGCAGCTCTCAGACACTAGCGCCAGAGTTCCCTCTAGTGTATATTAAGAAACTCTATGGTTAGCGTGAGCCGAGCAACGCAAAAGGGGGCTGTTTTCAGCGATTTCGTAAGTGAAACGAAGTGCTGGGGTGAATAAACAAGACATTTTTTGGCTCAACGACGTGTCATTTAGAGTTCACTTTTTGCTGGCAGGTGCAAGATTATATGAAGATAACGAAAATCACCAAACTGAAAAATCAATTTTTTTGGAGTTTTTTTTCGTCGCCAAGACTTGTGTCCCCCCTTAAAAAGCGGATTCCTGCCGATGAGCATGGAAGGAAGTAGTGGGAGCTGTGGTCAGTAGGGCAATAAAAAGAGTTTTTTCCTTTGAGCTTCTAAATCGCTACACTGAACTAGGATGTGGAGAACCGAAAGTGGATGCCCACACCTCTCACAGATAGGTTGGTCTTTGCCAGACAAAAAGTATGAATGTGTGGTGTGTGTCTGCGTGTGTCCTATCTGTAGCCTTGCAAGTATTACCTGTGCGTAGCATGATCTGGATACTGGTGGCCAATTTCCAAATATCGATTTAGTACCATGTAGTTTGTTGTCTGTTTGCCTATCCCCTCGCAAGAAAGGTTTCATGTCAAGTGCAGGGACGGCCATATTGGCGGGTGTATGGTCGTGCGCAGACGCAGCTAGCTGGTCCGCCACTACGTTTCCAGCGATCTCGCGGTGCCCTGGCACCCAGCACACAACAAGATGTCATTTGAGGGTGTAGATTGTGCATAAAAGAGTAGACACAAGGACAGGATTTTCGTTTTCCTAGTATTTTCAAAGTCTGTTAGACGCTCAGCGAATCTCTGTATACAACCGCGTATTGTAATTGGAATTCCTTAATATACCCGACAGATATGCTTGTTTGGGGGTGCAGCGTACCAAAATTTGAAAAAGATGGGCCAACAGCTGCATAGGACACGCCAGTGTGAGAATTCAACACAAGTGTACACTTGCCCAGAATTTTTTACAGATGCTTTGGAGTTTGAGGAAGTGCGTGCGGATGTGCGCGTTTAGCGACATCCACGGAAGATAGATCGCGGTTCTTTTTCGAACTAGCCCCGTAAAAAGCCTGTATGCAGAGTCAAACGAATGGTCGCGCCATCTGCAGAGATCCTGCCACCTGCGATTGCCACGGTGGCAGATATACTGCTGGAACCATCAAACGGTGTTCTACAAATGGCACGGCTGTTTCTTCAGCGAGCCTCCAGACACTGAATGAGTAGGGCTATCTCAGCGAAGGACAGTTGTGGAATAAGGTAGAATTGGACAGACCATGAAGTGTGGAGTGAGTGGGATGTCGGTCGTCCGAGTTCACCCCGAGATAGTATGTAAAGGCGTACAGCATCTCTGCAGATGGCGCGACCATTCGTCTGACTCTGCATACAGGCTTTTTACGGGGCTAGTTTGAAAAGGACCCATAAAAAGGCAAATGCCTAGGTGGGGGACAGGGCCAAGCATCTTTAAAGCTGATGGTGTCGCAGACTGGTAGATAAAGCGAATGCCTAGGTGGGGGACAGGGTCAAGCGTCTTTAAAGCTGACCGTGTCGCAGGCTGGTAGGTTATGGCACCGTCATCTAGGCGCGTGTGCACAAGGCTTCTGTACAAATTCATCAGGCATTTCCTGTCCCTACCCCACCGTAGTGCATAACACTTTCAAAATATTCGTTGTTTTTAAGCACTTGTTCTTTAAATACTTGATGTGGAGTATGAAGGTTAGTTTTTTTAGGCAGAAAATGGAACACAAACCTCCACAACCGTTTTGTGCAGGTCTAGGATCTCTTCTTCCATCTCTTGGAGGTGGGAGATTGCTTCGTGGAATGTATACATATCACCGGACATCTCCACATCCTGCAATACCGGGGAGGGGGGGGTTAAGCACAAGCTGAAATTTTTTTACTGAAAATAAGCTCGAGAGCAAGAAAGGCTCCGCTGTGTAGCGTAAATTTTGGCACCGTGAACTTGAACGGGCAGGGAAGAGAAGAAGCTCACATCAGAGGCCCTCAGAAGAGCCAGGTTGTCGTCCTCTTCGCTCTCCGGGGCCATCTCCTCATCCTCGTTCGAGGCAGGCTTGAGCTCTGGGCTGTCCTCGACGCCAAGCTCCTTCACCCTGCAAGGGCCAGCAAGAAGCACGGCATAACAGACAGTTCTTCGATTATTCGGTGCAGGCTTAGAAACGTGACCTTTAAGGCAACAAAACAAACGCAGAGAAAAACTCTTTAAGAGTACCATTAAAAATCTCTCGTTTCTAGCCCTGAAGAGCAGTCGATTCCGGTGTTCCAACTAAAGAGTTGACCCACCATAATTAACTTGGGCTGGCTAGTGAGGCAGCTGGATAACAAGCATTCATTTACACACAAGCCTTAATATAATTAAATATTGGTCATAACAAAGCAAATAAGTAGTTTTTTGAAAGATAAAGCATCAGGAATATACATTCATAACAAATTTTAGGATATAAAGAACTTATTTTCATGTCATATGCAACTTTTTTTATAATGAGGTTTGAGTGGACCATACTATTCATTAGTATGGGGATGCTTGACTTATCAGGCAAGTCTAATAAACAGATATGATGAAGGTAGTGTTCTTGAGTTAGGGGAGACTTCGTTGCATCACTGCCACCATCGCAATCTAGTCAACAGCCTTCACATTTGTCACCCCCTTGCATATCTTCTATTCCAGTGCCGCAGTGTTCAAATTCACACCCCTAGAGTGCCCAGACACTGCTGGGAGTGACTGTCAGTGAACAGCAGCTGTTGCGAAGAATGCAACAAAGCAAGTTGTCTCTGTGTCGTCGTTTTGTTCTCGCGCTATAACTATCGTCATGCCATACCAACTAGCCCAAGCTGCCACACTTCTAAGTTACATCAATCCAGCCTTTGTGAAAGTAGGGACAAGTCTAGTGGCTACTATTGCTATGTGCGATGATGTTACACAAACTAAACATTTGCGTACCTGTCTGCATAGCGCAGTGTGTTGAGAGAGTGCTCACAAGAACTCAAGCCTGGAGAGATCATGGCGATCTGGAAACAACCAAAGAATACATTCAATCTAGTAGTTAGATTTCTTTCCCAAAAAAGGTTCTCTTAGTTATTCACATACACGTTACAATGAAGTGGCGCTCGGCCATCTGGTGGTGGCAGCACATACAGAGGTGAACGCACATTCCGAACCAAAGCTGTCTATGCCATAAAGTTTCCTATAAATACACTAGAGGAAACTGGCGCTAGTGTCTATCGGAGCAGCAACGATGGTGCTTCAGTGACCACGGGAATTATGGGTAGTATACAGATTCGTCTAATCTTCGTACTTCTGCCTCGTTTGGGGTTGGATGGCTTGAAGACGTTTTGTCACGAAAAAAAAATCTGCGAATGTTCAGCAGTAGCGCTTCACCACCTTAATCTTTTAGGCTTACGATTTCAAATCAGGCCCCGAAGCTAGAAAGGGTTCGTTCTTTCTTTCGAAACAAAACAGAAATACTGCAATAAACGAAGCCTCAAGTGCGATTCGCCGCCCCCAAGTACAAAGACTAGGTCAATTCGTTTACTAACCATTCTTCCCATGGTCGCTGAACGATCGCAGCGCCAGGGTCTCTGCTAGTTAATTTTAGGAAACTAGGGTCTATGCAAGTTAGCTCCTGTGGAGCAAATGAATTTTGATTTAGAACACAAAACCGACATAGCTATATGAATGCAAAGCCCCAAGAGCTCCACAAAAAATGCAATACGTTCGATTAATTTTAACACGTTTCTATGAGATTAGCAGATCGCAATCGATTTTTTTTTTCACAATGAGGTTTCTAAGTGGGGTACATAATATGTCGAATGGTAGTGAACAGACTCGGCACAAAGAAATGGAAGAGTGCCCACCATGCAGGTCCGAGAGTTCTCTCCGATGAAGGAATCCCTTAGGACCTGTGTCAGCTTGCTGGCCCGAAACGGAAGGTGGGCACCCCGACGACCCAATGCCCTGATGCATTCCTAAAGAGGTAAAGGGGAAAAAAAAAAAAAAAAACGATTTTGGTTACAGCCAGGCCTGCAACAACACTCCGCAAAGTGAAAGGCGGAGGAGCGGCCTTTTTAGAGCCAGTGGTAAGCATTCTTGGGGGAACTAATAGAAATACACCTGCAAGGTATCCACTACATTTAGTAGAAAAGTAACCACTGTGCAGTTATTCATCACTCTGCGGACAAGCGCGGTAAACCTTGCATATTTGTAAGGCAACATGGGCACTGATGTTGATGCTGTGGCTGGTGAATCATGGCCAAGCCCTTCGTAATGGACAGGACATAAAGGACAGGACCCACATGCTATTCACTTCCAATGAGACGCCTGGCGGTCTTTTCTACCACGCTATTGCATCTGTCAAAGGAAGATGCGACACTTAGATGTCAAAAATCTGCCCAAAACCTCATTTTCTCACTATTTTCGTATTTCCGATGCCCTCCCGCACCCGTCAGCAAATTTTGGCTTCGAAATTGTAGTTATTTCTCAAAGTTGTAACACATAAGAGCAACTATGTGCAAGCAGACCTTTAAACTGAAGTCTGAACTAGCCGTACTTCAAAAGCGTAGTTCGCGTGCTGTCGGTGGTTGGTCTTATCAAAAGGTTGCGTTTTTTTCAGTAGACAACTATGTGCCCCTCGTGGAAGCAAAAAAAGGAAAGAAAATCACACGCAGCACGCGATTTCATTGGTTGCTTGACGTACGCGACCAAAATGGCCCTTCCCGATTGGCCAGAAAAACTTGCTTGAAGTGTTTGATAACGCCGCCGTAACCGAAGGCCACCATGCCGAAAGACAATTATTTAAGCGTGTGTCGAGTCGACGCTGGCCACATGAGTACTGAACATGTTATCAATGAAGGAGTGTGCAAAAACTGCTTCCCTGGGTAGGGCACCCTCTTGACTATGACAGCACCAATGCTATCAGCAATGGTGAAGTGCTCGTAGACATGTACCTTCCTCAGTAAAGTAAAAAGTTGGGCGAGTTGGTGCTGGTTCATGATGATAAGGGGCGCGAAAAAAACGACACACAACAGAGAAGAAGTACACGGGTTTCGTCCCGTGTACTTCTTCTCTGTTGTGTGTCGTTTTTTTCGCGCCCCTTATCATCATGTACCTTCCTGACAGCACACACGATGTTGACTCTGGCCGTGTGCCAAAGTTTGGTGTCAAAGGAACAGCATTCTTCTCTTTTTGCCGTGCAAGCTGCTGCTGTTGCAGAAGATGTGCTACGCTTTAACACTGGACACATAAGTGCATCTGCTGCAATCCTAGAGCAGCTGGACATCAACATACCCAGCAGTGCATCTCCGAGAGCAAGAGAGAAAGACCACCGTCGAAGTGCCAGCTCAAAAAAAGAAGTATCTTAGAGAGTGGAAAAGCTGGCCGAGAAAAGGAATAAGGATAGGGTGCATCTAGATTATGCCCCTGGTGTATTTTCTCAAGTTTTTATAGGTATATTTCGCATCGAAACGTTTCAAAAAGTTTTTTTTCCTCGTTTTCATAAAACAGCAATTTTAACACATTTGCCACAGTGGAAGAAAAAGCTTTTGTTCTATTTGAGCTATCAGAATTTTTTTTTGCCAGAAAGATAAACGCATACAATAAGCAATATGCATTTCACAAAATTTTCGAAATTGGTCACAAGTGTGGCATGCGAGAGTAATTTCTTTTGTGTGAACATGGACGACTTCCCACTATTGTCAAAATTGGCCTAACAAATTTACCTATTGCATCTTGCAATCCTGACACATCCAACATTGTTTCAATACTGTAACCACGACCTCGGGGTTTTCTGCTTAGATGCCAATTTTGCTCCAAACAAAAAACACAGCGCATGCGATGATAACCAACAATATTAGAAACCACTATACCGATCACAAAAGCAATTACATTTTCGGAACCTGCACATCAAAAGTTGCCTTTCAAGTGTAGCTTCCCCCTTAACATGATCCTCCGGCCGACATGATGCCAGCATGGCTAAGGGTGGCCTGGAAAAATGCAGGGAAGGCGCTTCTGCGAACATTCAGTAACGTAGCTTTCTGGGCGAGCTGGGAGCATCTGGGCAGGTGAAAACTAGGCATGCCACATGGAACGCTTTTGCAAATCCATCAAGAGTAATAATTCAAAAGAGTAATGCATTGGACGAGCTGTGGCCACCTTTAGGGCAAGCAGGCTCTTGTTGATCTCTGCTCCCTCCATCCTTGTCTGTCGGTTGGCGCTCGACGTGTCCGCACCCCGTTCGTTCCCGGCCAGGTCAATGAGGGAGAACTTGCCGTGCAGCCGGCTGGACTTCCTGCAGGGGCAAACAGTTCACAGGTATTGCATACGTGAACCTTTTCTCCGGCAAGTGCGCACATTCTTACTGCTCAGCACTGCAGCAGCTTTCTGAAAAGCCAGAGCACTTTTACAGCTCTGTAAAACTTTACACTTTGGTAATGCGAGGAAATGATGCCAGTTCAAGTTGTTGAAATGGTGCACACTGCACTCTTCACATCTAGAAGGGTGAAGAATTTTCAAAGGAAACGTTACATCTGCCTCCAGCTCAATATAAGAATAGCTGTAAGAATAGCTGTATGAACAGGTGAATGCCTGTCAACAAAAGTGAGGGATGAAACCTCCCTTGAATGCTTCAGAACAGCATGAAAAACTGAATTTCGAGCATGAACTCCACACTTTGGAGCAAATAGAGAGCAGTTTAGCAAAGGACAACATTATGAAAACGAATACGTAACAATACTGACAAAATGTGCTCTTTATGTACCAATGTACAACTGCATTAACAATGAAAGCAGGTGAGCTAAAGTATCAACACATCTTGCATTGATGAATAAAGAACTTTGGCAAGACCTAGTCTAAATTTAAGCCCATGTTCTAATATTGATGCATAAAAAGATTACATAATGCAAGACTAAACGAAAAATATCAAAAAAGGAACTGCTGCTTATATGGAACAGCTGCCTCTTACAAGATTGGTTTGATACTTTCATTCTGCACCCCCGCGCATCTCTTGCTAAACTAAACTCCCGGTTAAATAGAATATTTTTCTCTGGTCCCTTCAGGTTCTGAATCAGTGTGTGGTGAGTACAGACATCGATGCAAGCTTCGAAAAATCTGTAGTGCTTAAATCACTGGGCTTTCGATTAACACACCTTGACTTTTGTGCAGTTTCTTTGCATACTATGTGTGCTTCTGGGAGATCGCATGGCACTTAACGGCTGTGCTATCACACCATGAACACAATAACATTGCATAGTGCACAAAAACCGCACCCTTCAGTACTGGCTGACACCAGAGAGATTAGGTCTCTGTTGCCATCGGTCTTGTTCTCACACAGTAGATGTTTCGTTGTTCTACATAATATTCTGAAGGCGGACTGTACCAAAATGGATCAGATTGGACAGGCCACACCACTGCAAAGGAGAGGCCGCACCGATTTTATAGGATCGGTCACGATAAGACGACAAGTCGCCTTTGACGACACCGGCGGGGCCTAGTTAACCAAGTGCCCTCGGAATTCATTTTGGAGCGAGAAGTAGCAGGCACATGGTTCGGAACACAATGGAGCAGCACTTGAATCCCCGACTGAGGCTCAAAGCAGACTGAAGTCTTTGCACATGGAGTGCACACTTCACTGCATTGGTTAATGCAAGCATACAACCATAATTGTACAGGTGATACCTTGCTTCCAAGAAACCTGTGAAGTCCATTGCAGTCTTTTTAGATATACTATGCATTTTGCACTTTTAGGGACACAATAGAATTGTTAGGCCTTTCAGCGTTTGTTATACACTCAAGCCTAGATATAATGGACACAGATATAACAAATTATCTGTTGTAACAAAGTAAATAGAAAGTCTTGCAATAAAGACACCAGTAAAAATAACCTTTACAATGAATTTTCAGATACACCAAACTTATTTTCTTGTAAGAGCAACTTTGTTATGATGTTTGTGGGGCAAAAAAAACTGCTGCCGTGCACATACACTCAGAATCTTTTCTGTACATGTAAGTTTTAGACCCTCCACGAAGACTTGCAAGAAGGTCTAAGCTATTTTGTTGCAGAGCTAAATGAAACCAGATTTATAGTGTCTGCACATCACACAGTCACAACGGCAATGGGCACCGCCCTTTGGAATTTTAAGGGCAAAGCTCGTTAGGGTGTGGGTCTGTCCATACCTGCTCAAGAGGAGGTATCTGCCACAGGGGATGAGAGATGGGAGATGGCACTATTTGGAGTGTTCACTAGATGGACGGACCAATGGACTAACGCACGGAGCAGGTATGTGCCACAAGGGACGAGAGATGGGGGGTACTTGGGAGTGTTCACTAGATGGACGCATGGACAGAGACTAGAAGACTCGCAGACAGATGGACAGACGTGCGAACGGATGGATGCAAGAACGAACGGACAGATGGACGGACGGAAGCGCAGACTGGCTTATGGATGCTTCGCCCTACTCATCGTCATTCATTCTGTGGATATGCTGCAATTTTCTTGGTTTCACCATGCGATTGCAACGAAGGAGCACAAAACCCAATTTCAATCTGTCTGCATTTCCTTGCAATAAAAATTGATGCCCTCCCCTAATATTTTTTTGTCAGTAGTTGCATTATCACAGACACTCTTGAGCTATTCTCGTTCTCAATTACCAAGTTTACTCTGACCAAGGCAGCCACACACAGAGCAGGCGATGAGTTTGCCAGCACAAATCGTCGCTCCAAGATGAGAACCGAACACTTATCACTCTAACGCAAACTGAAATACTACAGTACTTTAGTAGTGATCAACACCATGTGCCTTGGAATAATAATGAGTAAACTTGATGCACTTGCAAACTTTATAGATCATCACTGAAATGGCCAATGACGATTGATTGATTGATTGATTGATGTGGGGTTTGCTGTCTCAAAACCATCATATGATTATGAGACACTGCCTGGGGTTTTTAAACGTGCACCCAAATTAGATAACAGAATTGTAAAGGGCTGCTGTAGTGTATAGCAATAAAAGTTTACAGAAAAGTTGTAAAATGAGGAAATTTCACTTGGTGACAATATGGCAAAACAACAGAGATTTCTCAAGACACAAGAAAGCATTTTTCGTACCGTTGCCTCAAGATGATCTGGAACACTGCATGAGATCGCGAGGAGTTCTGGTTGGCCGATGTCTGCCCGGATGTTCTGCAAGGAAAAATGAACACTGGTCATGTTAACACTAGAAGCAAGAGAAATTGTTAGAACATTGTTGTGAGCAAAGCAAACAGCTAAGCACTCTAAAGGCAGGCAAACCTAGTAGATATTGAAGTCTATTGAGTGATGCATTTGTAACCCATTCACATAATGGACGAATTTGAACACCTAGAGTTCCCTAGTACAGGCAATTTTTGTAGAAAAATTGGGGGCCCCTTAAGCTTCGCCTTTAGAAGTTGAACGTGAGAGAGAAATTCTGCCCTTAGCAAGTACCCCAAGCACTTGATTCATTAAACCTTTTTCGAACTTGCTTTCTCGATCCCCATCGATCCATTTTATTTGGACCTTCGATTTTTCTATCGTTCACAACCGACAACACTGACACCAATGCCGAAATTTCTGCAAAAGGAGCTTTTTAACATTATCGCGTTAAAATCGCACACAGCAGTAAAAAACTGCTCGCTGACACACCTCACGCTGTTGCCATGCTGAATGAGCTTGAGGACCTCGTCAACGGAGTCCACCTCCCTCTCCACAAGGCCGACAACCTGTACCTGCTGCCTGCCATCTTCCAGTACACGGAGCTTCGCTTTTGCGTTGAGCAGGTCGAACACCTGCAAGAGAGGGTCAGCGGCAGGTGCCATGAACCAACACTGCAAGTCTCACCTACACAGTCAACAAGGAAACAAGACTATCTAAACACGAGGAATAAGACCTTGCACTTTGGCATACCTACAGAGATCTTAAAACACTTTTGAGACACAGGCAGTTCCTGGTTACCGAGAGTGATGCAACGGTTGTGCAATATGGCGAACAACTCTCTTAGAAAAAAAAAAGGGGGGGGGGGGGGGCAGTATACCTAGTCTTGTCTTCAAGTATGCCCTTGCACATGTGCATAATGCATTCATTTATAGGGTTCAACATCACCAATAGACTGGCTACAGGATATGCCATAATGAGCAGCTCTAGATAGTTTTCACCAGCCGAGCTTGAACACAAACGATCATCAAGTGCGTCATTGTACTATGTTATCTGTATTTTGAGAACGTTATCGCCATGTGCACACGACTTCATTAGACTTTTCTTCAACCATATAGTCTAGCAAAATTGTTTTGGCAAACACATACTAGTTCAAGTGCTTTACACCAACTAAACCATCACTGCCAGAAATACGGGAAAGCTGTAGGTTGGTGCAAGCTCTCGAGTAGGCAAATTAAAAAAGATCCCACACTCACCTTCCCGCTGTATATTTCAAAGAAGCTCGAGGAGACAACCAAATCTTCGTTTTTGTATTTCAGAGACTTAAGCAGCTTAAACACGTCCTTGGCTGCGAAGAAATTGTAGAATCACTTAGGAATCCTAGAAGCATTACGACAATTAGGCAAAATAAATAATGAAAGATACATACTTGCTAGCGCATAGATGCCTTTAGAACAGTCTTGCGTCTTGCCAGAGAAATCTCCACCCATTGTCTGCGAAAGAATGCCATGTCAGCTGTGGTGCACGACAGCTCCATCCACGAAAGAAACAAAAGGCAAACTTACCGTTAAAACCGTAATATAGGTAGATTTTTTTTTTTAAATGTGATGAAACATTGATCTTCCTGCTATATACCAGTCGTTGGCACAAAAAAATTATTCCATTGCGATCTTAAGCATCAGCAGTGGCATCCTTGGGCAAGGCTGGGCCCTTCTAGCGACCATAGCAAGGCCTACAATGTTCTAGCAACGCTATTTTGCTTCGGTTACCTTTGTCAGTCAACTGTTCTTTCTATATTTCCTTCAAGAATGAGTGGTAGGTGATGGCAGTTTACGATAGGCATTAAAAAGAAGCTATAAGTATGCCGAAGTGCATGGCAACCTGGCGGCACAACGGGAATTCTGTGCATCGGACAAAAGCATCCAATACTGCAGTGCACCTTTAATAGAAACGCTACTCGCCGAACTCATCCAGGAGCTGCATGCAAGATCGCTACCTGCGACAGTAGAGTGCATCCGTGTGAAAGCTATCGAGATAGCGCGCGACTCTGGGCTCACAAGTGCGCAATCCAAGGGATCGCCATCGTGAGTGCGCCGATTTATGAAGCGAAAGGGCTTTGCACTGAGGTGGCCTACTTCCGTGTGACAAAAACTGCCTGAAGATTTCGATAACAAGCTGGTCGAGTATCAGCGTTTCCATCATCGGGCTTCGTCGACAGCATTGTTGCACGGTGGGACACACGAGCAACGCTGACGAAACATAGATCTGGTTTGATATGCCTTTGAACCGGACTGACCACTAGAAAATCCAAGCAAGTGATGCTAGCGTGCACAGCGGATAGAAAGAAGCTGCACCCTTATGTTATTTCTAAGAAAAAAGGGCTACCAAAGAAAGACTTTCCCTGGCATGTTATTGAGAGCGAACGAAAAAGGGTTCATGAATGAGTCGCTCATGCTTTAGTGGATCCGGCTCGTGTTGCATCAGCAACCCCATGCGGTTTTTCTACGACCGAGCATGGTGATGCTCAACTCATTTCGAGGCCACCTCACGGCTGATGTGAAGGGAGCTCTATCCGACGGCAAGACTGTCATGATCCCTGGGGGACTAACATGTATCCTCCGGCCACTGGACGTAGTGCTCAATAAACCTTTCAAAGATCACGTGCTCGAGCCCTACAATAAGTGGATGCTGAGCGACAATCCCAAGACCCCTGCTGGCCGCCTACGACGTTCACCGCTCGTGACTGTTAGTGGCTGGGTGTCGTCAGCTGGGAAATCTCTACCAGAAGAGATGGTGCGCAAGTCTTTCCTGAAATACTGCGTCACAAACGCATTGGATGGAACGGAGGAATACGCACTGCACTCTGGGACGTAACTAGTGAGAAACAGATGTCGCCTGACTCAAGTTCGGAAGAGTCTGAGAGACAGCACTTTGTGGCCTTCTACCGTTTAACTACACAAGATTAGCGTCGCAATAAAAAGAAACGTCAACATAGTTTGACTGCTTATGTAGATTATAAAGGCAAGGGTGCGCCACAATACTCTAAATCCACCCGAAAAAGAAATTTTTAAAAATTGCCAAGTTTGGGAGGGGGGGAGGGGCTGACCTGTATTCCGGTTCAACCTATATTGCGGTTTTTACGGTAAAACAAACGGAAAATTTATTGCACTAGGTAGCGCTCACCAAATACATCTTCCATTTAACCCAACGATTCCCACAGCTACAGCTAACCCTTGCAACATGATGTGCTGGGTGTCTAAGGAAGCCCTTCACTACTAGGTGACCTAAAAGAATCGGGGCCTACAACAAAAGCATGACCTGTTGCAATCTGAATAGAACATTTCAGAGCGCCAAAGACTAGATTGCAAAGTAGCAATGGGAGCTTCAATTAAGGGGGGACATTGCATTTAAAAAAACTTATTTCTAGATCAATTTTGATGAAACTTAGCAGGTGTATACATATATGTGCACCGTTTCAAATGTACAATCATTTTCCTGGTGTTAAAAGTAGTTTTCGAAATACTAAAAATTTCATGTGCTTTTTGGGGAGCATGCTTTTGCCTAAACTGAGAAAGTTACAAAGTAAATAAGCATATTAAAATAATTGGGAATCAAAGCCGATTGCAATGCAACAAAAATGAATGTTCCAAACCAACTAGAAGAAAAGTTATGGAATGTTGAACACTTGTATGTGAAATTTTAGCTTGAAACAGACTTGGACACAAATGTGCAACATACCATAACTTTTGTTCAAGCCGATTTAGAACATCCATTTTTGTGGCATTGCACACACTTCACCGATTCCAGATTATTGTGATATGTCAACTTACTTTGCAGCTCTTAGTTTGAAAAAAATCTTGCTCCCCAAAAGGCCCATTAAATATTTTGTATTTTGAAGACTACATCTTATACAAGAAAAATCATTGTATATTTAAATTCAGGTCACATCATACATAAGCACACAAAGTTTCATCAAAATCAATCAAGAAATAAAAATTTTTTTAAGAGCAGTGTCTTCCCTTAAGACAGATACAGGTGACTTCAAAGTACATCTGAACGAACGCTGTCAAGATGGTGCACGCCCTTGCACTTACAATAGAACGAACATTTTACAAAGAACGCTTTGGACGATATGTCAAATGAACACTGCTTACATGCGTTTTACCGCTGCCCGTCTGTCCATAGGCGAAGCATGTTGCCATTCCTCCGTCAAATATGGTCTGTACGAGGGGTCTTGCGGTGTACCTAGAACAAGCAATATGTTTTCATTTTCTTAGTTCATCTTCCGGAGGCGCAATACATGACAAACGAGTCTAAAATTGTTTTAAAAGAAGCTTCCGAATTAACACAGGTTCTATTTCAAGGACAAACTTTTTTAACGATGCTTATTCCGAAATGGCTCGTAAACAGCAATTTCAACAGTTAATTTTTTTTTACGGAATTAATTGGGGAAGCTATTCCTTCTAAAAAAAAAAAAAAGACTAACTGAAGCTCTGTTTAACACAGCTCTTCCCATCACGCCATGAAATGCAAAATGCTCCAACTCTTTCTTGCATCTTTTCACCTACAGATTATCTCGCCACACAAACGCTGGAAGCAAACTTTATTCAAGAGTCAAAACCACAGCCCAGCCAACTTTCTATCACACTGTAGAATGAAACAGCGTGACAAGGACACCAAAGAAACTAATTCCACCAGACCAGTGCAGTCATTGTGTAGTTTCATATACTGCCCAGTTTACACACCAAACAGCCCTTCATTAAGTTGTTACTAATGCAATTTTTCTATTGCAGCTTTCATGACATCGAGTTATGAAATGAAAAGTCATTCTAACTTGTCAAATTCAAGTTAATTCGTGAACAGAGCAAGAAAGCTAATAAGGGAGCTAAAAAGCTACAAAGCATGAGCACAACAATGAGGCAACTGCAAGAGACTTACTTGTAAACTAGCTCATTGTTCGCCGTCTCATCGAAGGCGTAATCGAATCGAAACGTAGAATTTTCCAGGAACTTTGTCAGGTCAACCTTTAGCTTTGGCTCGTGGACTACGATGAGATCCCTGTTAGGCACAGTGATGACGTCCACCTCTTTTCGATTCACCTCTGCAAATTCGTATTAAACTAAAATTAAATTGTGGGGGTTTGAAGGGCCGGAACTACACTTGTACCTCGATACAACTAACCTGGATATAATAAAATATCGGTTATAACGAAGTAAATAGAGATTTGACTTGCAGTAGATACAGTGCTAGGAATATACCTTTATAACAAATTCTCGGATATAACAAACTTATTTTCGTGAAGTAGGCAACTTTGTTATAATGAGGTCCGAGTATACAATACGGTTGAGAGTACTACAGGGAACTCAGATTGACCGATTGATTGATTGATATGCGGGGTTTAACGTCCCAAAACCACCATTTGATTATGAGAGACGTAGTGGAGGGCTCCAGAAATTTCGACCACCTGGGGTCCTTTAACGTGCACCCAAACCTGAGCACACGGGCCTACAACACTTCCGCCTCCATTGGAAATGCAGCCGCCGCAGACAGGATTCCATCCCGCGACCAGCGGGTCAGCAGCGAAGTACCTTAGCCACTAGACCAACGTGGCAGGGCTACAGAGAACTTTGGATTAATTTCTCTTTAGTTTTCTCTCAGTATCACTTTAGATTCACTTTATAACTCTAGGGTGTAAAAAGAAAAGATGCGACGGCCCAATAAATCGCTTATTTCAAAATATTTTTGAACAGCTGCATCTATTTTTGGATTGTCAGCACACGGCGACTACAAGTGTCCCTTTCTTCACCTATCCATTCTGTTCTCCCGTCCCCCTTCCAAGAAAGGATGATCATTCGCTGTTGCTTTCATACACAATGGTTCTGAGAACTATTGTGGGAACCGAGTGAGTCTAGAGACGCAGGCAACAGCTGCCATTGTTGGCACCCCGTTTCCGGTGTTTGCAACGTCGCCGAAAGTCAACAAGTTCACGACGTGGTTGCTAGACACTGAAGTTTGATACAAAATCTTCATTCCAGTAAAAAATTATAGCAACGTTATGAATATATAGAGCTTTTCTCAATTTCATATTCCCATCTTTCAGTTTCACTACAATCCTTTGTGGCAAAAATTTGTTTTCAGTAGCACAAAAAAAAAAAAACAGCCAAATGAGTCATGCTTAAGATGTCCTATTGCATAAACTTGATCAGAGCCAATTAAGCTACATACTAGGATGATAGTTAACGGATTGTTTCCCGAAGGCTAACTGTTGATTGATCGTGCTCATTTTCTCAGCGCCGTTACGGTGTAGGTTAGGAACGGTTATCAACAAAAATCTCTAGAGCAGCAGGTACGGTATTTACACGTGTAATCCTTGCGCTCGCGTAATTCCGTGAACTTTATTTTGTCAAAGGGTGATTGCAGACAATGCCATGTTAGATGGCTATCGGCCCAAGGTTGATGTCGTCGGCTAACCTTTTGCAGACTCCCGTTAAGTGATGAGCGCAAACGCTACGCCTGCAAGCTTTGCGTACGGTGTTCTAAAAGTACTATATTTCTTTGCAGCTTTTGCGTCTCAAATCTTGCCTTGCGCTGACTGTGGCTTTATTGCCGAAATAAGCCTTAATTGGTACTTCTTAAAGCTTGTATTTAATTGCTAACGTGAGAATTCCTATTAGCAACCAGGAGGAGAAAAGAAATGGCCACTGTTTTGTTTTTTTTTCTTCTTTTCGCTCTGTACATTTTGGTGGTATCTCTTTTCGATCTGCACTGAGAAAAACCTACCCTTTTTATTAAGTGGTCTCTTGCGCACAGCCACGCAAATCTGGTGCACCTCAGATGGGTCACTCATCGATAGAGGCCTGAAGTCTAGTGTTGACCTGTACTCTCTGCAAAAGAGAAGACAAGGTTCAGATTTAATGCTTGGGAAAATAAGAGCCCGTGGCAAGTATAAAATCCACAGTCATCTACCTTGCTAACCATTGCCCTACTGTTATCCTACTGTGATCCTACGTTATCCACTCCCATTCAGAATCATTCACGCCACTTGTCATTTGACGCAGATGTTTCCGATTTTGCAGAGTTTTGAGTGCCCAGAACTGGCACAGCTTTATCGCGTTCCATCATTTCGGCATCGTGGAGCAGCAAGAGTCTACTGCCTGCGCCACTCAGGTGCACCAAGCCAATGACCAAGCATATTGCCAGAGGGCGATTACAGTCGATTGTCGTCAAGGTCATCCGTGTACAGTAAGGTGAAGTCTGAATGCGCACGTCTGATATACTGCCTGCAAAAGCCGTGACATCAGCGTTGCCACATGTGCGTGTGCGTTACTCAAGTGAAGCAACGTGGGGAATCTTGGCGATCTTTTGCTATATGTGCTGTGTGTTTACATGAGTGATGTACGTGCGGACGAGGCGCGAGAAAAAAAGCGACCAGCGTAACCTGCAAGCGCAACAGTTCTGAAGTAAACAAACCATGTGTTAAGAATCTGCAACGGTGCGTGCATTATAAAGCGAATTAGGGTCATCTGCTGTTTGTGCGCGATTATATGACATGTGCCTATTGGCGCAGCTGCAACCAAAGCGAGTTCTACCAGCCCAGAAATACCTTCCAGGTTGAAGCGACTGTTTCGTAAGCTCTTGTCTTGCTGTCAATGCACGAACGCTGCGTGTGAAAAACGGCGTGCGATGTTTTCAGACCACAAAGCGACGCGTGCTACGCAAATATATCTGCATCAATCGTTATTGTTGGATCGATTGTATCAATCGTGTGTTACTGAAGCGATGGCGATAAAACTATTTAGCAAAAAAAAGATTGTTCTTTAAGGCACTGTATCATACTTAATATCTAATTAAGAATTCATGACTAACTAGCACTTTGTTTTTGGCATTATTGTATTGCGTGCATGTACCAAGTAGTGATAATTTGGTCATATTAAATCGCTGTAGAGTAAAAGAAAACGAATGATTCATTGCACTCCCCTGTAAAAGTGAAGTCTGGCATGCAATTAACTGGCATTCAATGGTAAGGAAACTATTTTGCAATGAATTTGCCAAGACATGCATAGAAGGTGGAGAGGCTGCTGCTCAAGCAAAAGTGAATTTCGCTTTGAAAAAGTCAGCAGCACTGACTGGTCATGGCAACACCAGTGCAAGTTGTTGAAACAAGAAAGAAAATCACGTACTGCTTTTGGATACCGTCACCTTGGCCGCGCAACTCGCCTTGCTATGAACACAACAACATATGCAATGAGCCCCTCTGTTGAACGCAATGAGCCTTACATGCTGATATTTCGTCGAAACAAGACAGCAAAAACACGACGACCGGCACAATGACGCGAGACGCACATTCTGTATTTGCGGCAGCACAAGAATCAGAATTCACGAAGACAGTCTCGGATCACTTTGCCATTCTTTGCTTTGAGTCAAATGCCATAGTTACAGCATACAGCAAGAAAACATGGTAGTGAAAGTTCTGGAAAAAAAAGAAAAGAAATAATGACCTTGTAAAATGCAATTATTGCCCCGTTTCGTTTTGTGGAACAAAAAAGAAACAAATCCTTTATTTTTATTTCTCTCTTTATTCCTTTATTTATCTGGCATTGTTTCCGTCCCACAATCGGTACCACACAGAAACGTAGCCTTCGGGAGATGTACATTACTTCTTTATGAACTGCAGGATTAGCACAGTGGGATACGAGATTTAAACAACAGATATTTCCAAGCTGACTGAAGTCCATGCCTTCACAATTGTTATACAGTTATACAGTCAAACCCCTTTACAAGAGGCACTCGTATAAAACAGAAATGGGTATAGAAGACACCAATGTGCCTACAATAAATACACGTTGTGAAAATGCATACAAGGTACCCTGCTTTTTAAAGAACTATCACGTATAAAACACAAGAATTGCTGCGCGAAAAAAGCCTTTTACAAAGAAGTTCAACTGTATGCGTCAAATTATTGCCATTGTTTAGGAACTTACTTTCTAGCTAGTGACATGAACGTACATCTGTGTGGGAAGTCAACTATATGAAACTCTAGCAGCAGTCGACTGAACGAAAATAAGGAAGCGCTACTGGATGAAACATTCAGGCTAATTCTCCTTGAGAGGGACAGTGATGGCTGTGCATCGACATTTCTCTTAGGCCTAAAAAAAAAAAGCAAGTTTTGCAGGAAACAGCTGTGACTGGACTGTTTACCTTATCATGGAAAGAAACTCCCAGTTGGGATTTCCTGGGTCGACGTTCATACGCTCTCGCTTCTCCTCGATCTGGCTGAGCTGTCTTGCCCTCCGCTCCTCCCGCTGTTTCTTGATTCGGTCCACTTCCTTGACCACATTGGTGCGGCGCCTGCTGGCCGCACTAAGGTCCGACGCGCTGCCGCTAGGCGCGACCAGGGCCCGTGGAGTTTGCTGCTGGGACTGCCGCGTCGAGACCGAGTTCATTGGCACGTCCTTCTCGGCCACTGCACCGGTGAATGCGTGCGACACTTGTCAAGCCTGCAGCATGCACTTTGACTATCTGCACCTGCTATGCCGATAGCGTTGGCTTGGTTTTCATTGCCATAACCCAAAACGGAGGCACCCACTTTGGTTTCAGAAAAATGCCCACTCCAACACCACGGGATGCCAGTTATCTCTAGACTAATTATGGCAATATTTCAAGCAAGTGCCCCAATCCCAAGCAAGGGTTCCCTCCAATTTCAATGCCAATGCCAATGTCGATTCAGGCCAATACGACAAAATTTTGAGGCATCTTAATTGCTTTGGGATTAAACACTGCCAAGTCAGTTTGCATTGGACTATATAATTAACACAAATGCTGGTTGTAAGTCTGTTCAAATATCTGTAGGCTGGCTAAACTATCTGCACGTGCGATTGTGTTTAACATTTTTGACTGCATGGTTCTTCAGCGCTGCTCCACACTCCCCGAATTTTCGTTAGCAATGCAGCAAAATGCTCTTCAGGACAAGAGTGGCACCGATGAAGCGTGAACTCCATCTGTTGTCAAAAATTTCATTACAGTTGTTTGGCAATATGTTCTATTTATATATGGCCCATATTTTTTAAAATAGTAGCCTTATGCGACGCAGGGAGACATGAAGAACCAAATATAGTATGCTCCGAAATGGCAGGGCTTGCACACGAGTCTCTGCCCGAGTTATCTCTCAACTGGGAGCGAAAGGGCACAGACAGGTGAACACAAGAAAGCAGGGCGATTTAATTGATTGATATGCGGGGTTTAACGTCCCAAAACCACCATATGATTATGAGAGAAGCCGTAGTGGAGGGATCCGAAAATTCAGAATGCCTGGGGTTCTTTAACGCGCAAGAAAGCGGGGTGGTTATGGAAGTTTAGTACTCACGTGAAGAAATTATATTGCTAGACTTGGTAGTGGGAAGTGGTGCGGGTGGGGGCCCCATGGCGCGGTCGTGACCGTTCTGCTGGTGCAGTGCCGGCCTGGCCAGGCTCCGCCGGTCTTGAATTGTACCGGACTTCGCCGATGCCAGGGGCACTTGCGTATGCCTTGGAAGCTGCACGCAGTGTATGCACAAAGTTGAATGTGCAACAGCCCAGATTCATAGCCTCAGTGCACTGAAAAAAGCCGTTTGACGACTACGCTGCGTTGCGCTAGAAGATCGCAATTTAAATTTGAGAGTTTAATGCCTTTGAGCAGTCACCTGAGGCACCGCCATCATCGACGGAGGGTGAGATGGGAAAAGGGTCAATCAACTCTTCCATCTCCTCGCCTGAAGGAAACTGCCAAACTTGATACAGTTTATTCATTCATTAACACCACACAAGAATAAAGGTAAAGAACGCATTAAGTGTCAAGAAAAAGAAAATGTTTAAGAAGTGAGAAGTACTACTGATTATTAGTCTACGGTGTAAAGCAGACCATTTTTAGGCACATGCAAGTTACAAAGCAAGTCCTCTTTAATCGCGACAGACCGACGTTGGTTGCGAGCGAAAATCCCCTTTCACGACCCAAAAATCGAGAAAGATGTAAATAAAATGAATAATGAATTCTCGGTCTGATTGGGAATCGAACCCGAGTCATTTGCATGGCAAGCAAGTGTTCCGACACACCTCTACTTGTGAAAATAACTATTTCTGCTTGGAAGAACAGTAGAAGTAGCTTTCATGCTTTACAAACACTTGTAATGTATACATGTTTTACAATACAACATGAAGTATTGCCGTAATAATGCTTGGTACAAGTGCACATTGCCATGTGGCGTCAGAACAAGCGATTATCATATTGGCTACGTGGTTGAAAGCTGGTGCCCGCTACAAAATGCACACGCGCCATTGCACCTTTAGGGCACGCAGTGGTTGCATAGCAAGGTCAATAAGCTTTCATACACAAGGTGTCCGAAGTACGCAGTAGGAACAGAATATCGCTATCACGTTCAACTCATAACAGCAAAGCTTAAGGGTCCCAATCTTATTGATGATCTTTATATAATTCAAGCTAATTAGGAGTGCGTTACACGGACACTTCTGTTACTCTTAAGTTTCCTCAAGGACACTCAAGTTTCATTCAATAAAACCTCAGTTTTCAGTATTAACCAGGACAAACGAGACGAGATCAACATCAATAACAGTGATTAAACAACCAGAACTTATGCGCTAACAATAGGGACACCTTCCTACCACAGGCAGTTACATTAAATCACGTGGGCTAATGTCCCTTGAGGTTCATTGCACATAAGGAAGTGCATCAAGTTCTCACGAAAAATTGTAGTCAATGAAGATTCATATTTGCTTACAACAAAATACCAGCAATGCAAGTTCAGAGATAATAAAAAAATTTCGGACAGTTGCAGTGCTCACGCAATGCGGACAGGAGTGCTCGAGTACTCCATATTTGTAGCTAGTGCGATCCTGGACCTTCGTTTTGAGCAGCTTTCCTCAAGCGCCGCCTTGCAAATCTTTTTTCTAGTTCGCTTAGCATCATCAGTGCCGTTACGCAATGCTTTCGCAATGCCGATCATTTGCTAGCCAGCTTTTGCAGCAGTGTAAAGGCCAGGCTCGATACCAAGTTGCTTCAAGATAACAATTGTACCTCTGTTGCCACTATTGAGATGACAAGACAGCATCACACAAAGCAAATTTGAGAATTAGCAGACTTGGATACGTGTCCCCAAGTGTAAACTGCACATTTACAATGCATGTCCACATGGTGAGAAGTTTATGACCTTTAGGATTAAGAATTACTCTCTGAAAATGCTATTAGGGCATTATTACATGTTTGCACTTGGTATGATTGTTAAATGACCAAGAAAATACTACTTGAGATAATCCTCTAATGGACGCAAAACTGGCATTCAGCTTGATAGATGGTAAGTGGTGGAACATTTTTGCTTGAATATTTTACAATAAAATGCATAGACAAACTTTGGAGAGCAATATGAGACTAATTATGCATTTAAAAGGACCAAAAACCAAAAGACGACACTGAAAAAAATTTGCATTTTTCACTCTGCCAGTGTCTAGAACGACTGAGCGTCGCACGCGGAACAGCACGAGTGACATCTGCAGTTACAGTGACAGTGATACACAGCAACAGTGATGCACTGCCTTGCAGTTTCCACCCTTCTTTACTTTCGGGCTTCTATTTTTGTAGCAAAAAAAAAGCAGAAAAGAAGCTGTTCTGATGCATCTTCAAAAATTAAACTTGTAGCAATGTCATTCAAGCAGGCTTGTATCACAGCATGGAAACAAACAGAAAAATGATATCACCAATATAAGTGATATCACACAACAAAACTTAATTTCAAAGATTGGTTATACATATACATTATATACATATACACATATAACTGTGCTAGAACATGAAAACCCACAACAGTGATTAACATTGTAGTGTACTTTGGTCCTCGTTCGCTTTCACGCGGCTATGCTACAAGCCAGTTTATGATGAACCAACAAGCCCATATTGGTAGCTTCGTCAAAAATCTGATACAAGTATTTGCAGTGTTTGTCACGTAAAAGTGATGCATTTTTTATATATCGAGACAAGATTAGTGCTCTGGTGAACCGTTCATTTTGCTTTTATCGGACGACCAACCGACATAGTCTCCAGATTCAATATTCCACCTTTTCAAGCTCCGATTAAGGTTCCGATACTCTACCAAATGGACAATCCACATTGATACTGTCACAGGGTGGTGACGCGAACGAAGGAAGCAGACTACAGGTCGAATAATAAACTGTTTAATCGGGCCAAACTTGTGGCCACGTAAAAGGAAAGTCAGATTACAGCAAGAAGCTGGCGCTGATAGCGATGAGCAGGGCGTCTGCCGTCGATAAACTGACAAGCGGCAAAGCGTGTTGGCATTTATACACTTGCCATGGAACATTCTAGCGTTATTTCTAGTGGAGACGTGGGTTCCCGAATAATCTGAAAAATTCACAAAGTGGGTGTAATCTTAATAAAATGATCTACTGCCTCGAAGCTTCTCTAACACTGTAGACACGGTTTGCGCTGAACAGTGTAACGGGGCGATAAGAAAGGAACGTGGCAATATTGCCGGGACCAAACTCGCAACCTTAAACTTAGCAGTGGTAAATGTTTAACTTTTAAGTAATTTGCAATTATGGAGTTTAACAGGGAGACAGTCACATGTGGCATCAGTGTGAAGACAGCACTTCATGATGTGATAGAGTACTGCATTGTTAGATTGAAGAAAAAGAACATTGTTTGCTTACACGGCTTGGCAGTTTACGGAGATCATGCACTTGCTGGAATGGAAACGCAACTGTTGAGTTAAGAGGAAAAAAAAAGGGGAAAAAAAAAGGAAAAAAAAAGCAGGAGCCCTAGAATAGTGCAAGGCAAGGTGTGTCACTGCAATAGTACTTTTACCAGAAAGTGGGTAATAAAACAGCGTTGAAGGTGCTATTTGCTCATTTTACAAGCACTGCTGGTATTAAACAGTGATCGTCAAATGAGTGCAATGCAAGTGCTAAGCAGGACTTACTGAATCGCAAGAGTTCATTATGGAACGGACACGCTAAAACAGTCCAACATAATAGTGGCGCTCTTTAAGGGAAAGCTTTCATGCATGCACTATGCATACAGCAGTACTAGTACTTGCACGCTGCTAGTGCAAACCTTAACATGCGCGTGAGTTTGGGTGTAGGTAGAAATTTTTTTCATGGGGTGGGGCACTCCCTTGTTCAGAACTGGGGGCTGTGAAGGCAAATGGTCATTTTGTGCTGTAGGCCATGATGAAAAAATTTCAGGGGGAAGGGGGGCACGGGCTTCGTCTGACACCCTATGGCTACCCACTGGCGTTGCGGCAGTTATGCAAGAGCATGCACGTGATGGATATGCGGGGTCTAAGATCCCAAAACTACGATATGATTATGAGAGACGCCGTAGTGGAGGGCTCCGAAAATTTGCACCATCTCGGGTTCCTTAACGTGCACCCAAATCTGAGCACATGGGCCTACAGCATTTTCACCTTCCTCGAAAATGCAGCCGCCGCAGACGGGATTAGATCCCGCTACCTGCGGTTCAGCAGCTCAGCAACTTGGCCACTAGACTACTACGGCGGGGAAAGAGCATGCACATCTCTGCTATGAATTAAATTTTTGCCCCTATCTGTGCATCTTCTGATGATCTGTGCATCTTCGTTTGCCAACAGAATTGACGTGGTTCAGTTTTACACCAGTGACAAAAATGTCAATTTCGAGGACTTGCCTTTTTGACTGAATTACGGTTGACGTCCTGGAGTCCCGGGTTCAGCGCGAACACTGTGCTGAACTCGAGCTGGAAATAAAAATAATAAAAGTGGCATCAAGGCACAACATGATGCAGTTCAGATACTACAAGACAGTGCACTCTGCGAACTCTACCAAGGTACTGCCAAATGGTATGCGAAGTCTTTAGCCATTTAATTGGACCAAAAGCAGGCAATTAGCTACTAATGAATTAAAATATATCTTACCGGTCGCCGATTTACTTAAGTGAACCGAGTATTGCTACACACATGCAACTATAGGTCCGGATCCCCTCAAATGTCTGATAAAGTGTTAATTGCGCTGGCACTACAACGTCCGACAAGTCATGAGAAACGACACTAGCATGTTTGAAATTGCTAGTTAGAAATTTCAAATGCTGCAATATCTCTAGAAACTATTTCTACCTCTAGATTCATTTTTGTTTATGCCAGAACAGTTTAATGACTTCAAAAGCATGTAATTACCTATTCAAGATTAATTATAATAAAACAAAATAATTCAACACGACATTTGTGTTGCAATGCAGTACCGAGTGTCTTGAAGCAACGTATATTTAACACAAACAGTCCTACGTCACGAAAGAAAAGGTTGACCCTCTATTAGTGGAGCACCCACACAATGAGAACTTTGCTCACCTCCTTGCCCTTGGTCTCCCCCTTCTCGTACCACTCCGCCACGATGACCTGTTTGTCTTGATCCATGCTCACCACTGTGGCTGAATGGATGCGCCCTGCAAACACAGATCGATGGAAGGTAGATTAAAAATGAGTATCTACAGAGACAAACTACTCTAGATTACACAAAGCACATGAGCTTTTGAACCACTGAAAAACACACACACACACACACACACACACACACACACACACACACACACACACACACACACACACACACACACACACACACACACACACACACACACACACACACACACACACACACACACACACACACACACACACACACACACACACACACACACACACACACACACACACACACACAGAGAGAGAGAGAGAGAGAGAGAGAGAGAGAGAGAAAGAGAGCAGAGTCTTACCTCAAAACCTAAATATGACACTACCAACTTGACATTCTTGATACTACCAAATTAACGAGACAACTAACCCTTCAGAAAAACTAGGATATTGCTCGGGTGAAAAGTCTCGGTGCAGAGCACATTAGGCGCTCAACTTGCGTGGCGCGATCATGCTAGCAGCACGGCCGCTCGACCTTCCGGTGCTGGTAGGAAGGCACTTAGTACAGGCCGTGAGGCTGGCAATGCTCAAACCAGCGTTAAACGTGCCCTACAACACTTTTTAAGCCATCAGAAAATGCTGCTGATCGGTAGTAAAGGCTCCTGAGAACACGAGAGCCAAATGTTATAGCGCAGCGCACGACCTGGAGTTCAGAATAAGTTCTTAAAGCCAGCTAAAAATTTCTCGGAACAAATGACTGAGGCAGCTCACAAACCACTTGTCACAGCAATTCTATCTGTGATTGGCAGATTTAAACATGACGATCTCTGTTGCTACTGGAACTGCCACAAGAGGTTGAGAGTTCCCAATGCGTGTGTGTGCGTACAGTGAGACAGTCGCGCACAGGAAGCCAAAGCAACGCATGATGGCGCTGCGAAAGGCAACTTCGCACAGCGAGTGCCCCATTCCAGCGCACCAAGCTGACGGCACGACGCCGAAGTTCCCCGCACCAAATGAAAAACTCGTTCTGCGAGTGTCGCACGCGCTCCCATTTAGGCGAGACACATTGACTTGCCTGCCCCCTCTCTCGCGCCTATCCTCAAGTTTTCTGGAGCTCGCCGCCAGAGCCAGTAGCGGCGTTGTCGCTTGGCAAACTTGACCTTCGGTTCCCTATTCGAAGTAAAGAAGAAAGGTGCTCAAGGTCACAGGGCATGCGTAACGTTCTTCCCCCGAGCTGTCTCTCCCTGCTTAGCTTCCAATAGACGTGAGACTCTGGAGTTTTGCAGGCATGTAGTACCACCTGTCAGCGTAGTTTGGGGTAGTGCAAAGCCCAACTCCCTTGCACAGTTTGCTGTGCAACCAGGCGCTACTAGCGCGTGAAAAATGACGAGCTAAATATTAGGAGTGTTTGTGCACTGAACACTCGGAAGAAGAGCTACGAATTTTTCTCCGCTAGTCGGACTCCATGAAGTGCTTGCTGGATCACTCGCCAGAACGACGACGAAAACTAGAGCAGAAGCCGCAACTCCGGTGTGGAGAACACTGTCCCTGCTATTGGTAATTGTAGATTGCCACTGACATTAAGGACTTTAGCTTTACCGATTTCCTACGCTGTCGCAAAGCAAAACGGCGAGAGTGCTGGATGCGGGCTGTGGCGAACGTTTTGGGTAAGTGAATTACTCGCGTTCGCCACAGCCGGTTGCACGAGTGTGAGAATCAACGTCTCCTGTTATTGTTTGGAGTGTCCTTAACGGAGAACCGTGGCAAACTTATGAGCCTTAACAGTCTTGACTGCGGAACACGCCACGGAACGGCAAGCTGATGATGCGCGCGATACACATAGCACACGCCGCGACCACCGATCATCTAGAAGTGGTCGCCACCACACAGCGTCACGCACGTAGGCTTTGAAGGCTTTAAGTTCCGGCTTTAATTAGCAAATGCGAACACTGACGTCATACAGGTAAATCACAAAATGAAGCTATCTCGGAGGCCTCGGTTTTGCCTTTCGTTGTAAACAGAGAAAGTGGACACGCATGTATCCCGATTTACAGTTTATACAAACGGAAGGCAACCGTCAACCGAACGTTTTAGGATTTCTTAAAACAGTTCAACGCACAGGAAGCAAGAGATGAATGCAACTGCAAAGGCGCAAATCGCTGCGACCATTCATGCTGAATAAAGCGAGCTTTATCCATGATCGTAAAATACACTGCATCGCTTACGAATCGTGTGTACGCCCAAATTTAACAAATTTAGGCATTACAGAACACACGTTGGAGCGCTTGCTTCGAACTTGATGTGATGCGATGCTCGCTTGCACTTAAATTGTGAGTAGCTGCAAACCGAAATAACATTTTGCATTGTACTCGCACTTCGCTTTGACGAGCTTCCTACTATTTCTGAAGCGAGGTTGGTTTGAAGGAGATGCACGTTCGCTTGTGGACGGCTCTCTTTGCCCTACCCATTTATGGTTGGCACGGCGTTGGGGGCGCTGGTGACGGCGTTTCTCGCAGCGCAGCCTTGGCAGTATGACGTCTATGCTTTCGTCGGGACGTGAGATTGCAGTGTGCTACAAATCTAACTCTGCTCGTACTGGACGGGTTCTTACAATTTTAGCGCCGGTGAATTTGCCAAGGAATAAGCTCCTTTACTGAATTTGTTTTATGGCTACATAAAAAAATGCTGCAGGGCCCTGTTAAAGCAAGCAAACAAGGCCTAAAGCAATATTAACAGAAATGGCCAACGTAATCACATGGTAAAATCCCTAAAAAAGTTTCGGAAACATGACTGCGGGGCAGAAGAGGGCGCCACCGTCTCACCGAGTGAACGAACGCCGCCACGGCACCTGCGCCGCTACACCCGATGGCAGAAACAACCAGGCTGAACTCACTGCAGACGATGCGTACCTGAACTGCCACAACAAGCGGGAACTCGATAAAGCGCATGTGGCACACCGAGTTTGTGAATCTGCCAAACTACACGGGCCGGGGAAACACTACACGCAATTACGTTGGCGCCATCGACGCTACAGGTAAGCGGAGCAACGGGAACTCTACGAACGGGAATCGCTGGGCACCCGGGCGACGCATTTCGTCAGGTAACACAGCAGCGGAATTGCAACACTTCAACCATATAACACTGCACAAAACTAGTTCTGGCTGCGACACTGGCGGCGGTATAAACTAACTTAAAAACTGCTTTCCAGCCCCTGCGACGCAAATGAGCGCCTAATGACCGCCTTCCAGGGTTTTCACGAAGCGATGACAGGCGGGACCCACGGCGGCCCTTTCCGTCAAGCTTTTCATTGTGCGTCCAGCGAGAATACGCACGCTACCGCCGCGTCACGCCAGACGAGCACGGCGGTGGCGTGCGAGGCATACATGCATCTGCGACAGAGAAACAAACGTTGACTAAGAAAACGAAACAACCGATGTAAACCGCTCGTTGCGCAACACCGTCTCGGCAAGCCTCAAGACAGGCCGCGGTGGGCGGCAGGCAGCGCCACCCGCACTGGAACCGTGCAGCAAATACCGACGAGGCGGGAGCAGTCGAAACCGTGGAACGACACAACTAGCGCAACTTGTGAACCAATCGGCGGAGGGCCCCCTTCGCTCTCGTGAAGGAGAATAGCGTATCACGCATACGCAGTGGCGACGTAAGCCGTCTCGAAACTGCCGAATGATTGCTGCCGATTTAATTACCAGAACCATACACGCCGCACCGGGGGGGGGGGGGGGGGGGGGGTTCACGGAACAAGTGCCGACGGCAGGGAGTTCTTTAAAGGGGCCCTGAAACACTTTTTCAAGCAACCATGGAATGAATTCGCTGGAAGAGCTTATTGCCTCACGAATTTAACGCCGCAAAAATTTTTAGAATCTATCCAGTGGGAGTGGAGTTACAAAGGTTTGTCGCATGCTGCAATTGCATTCTCTCTTCTCTCGTCCCGACGAAAGCGCTGGTAGCTAAGCAGGGAGGACCGGCAGGGCCACAGAAAAACGTCGCGCGAGCCTCGTGACCTTGAGAACTTTCTTAATTTTTTTTTTCTTCAAATGCGCGGCTTTGTCAGTGTGATTGCGCGCGCACGCGCGGACAAGTAGTGGCCTCCAGCGGCGATCTCTGTAACGAGTGAGCGCGCCATGTTCAAATTAGCCAATGGCCGACAGATGGGCTCGCTACGTGAGATTTTTGGGTATATGCCATGATTTGTCGAAAGAAGAGAAAGCAATTTTCATCTGACTGATAATTTGTTGTGTATTCCAGGTCACGCGCTGCGCTATAATATTTGGCTCGCGTGTTGTCGGGAGCTACCAAATCGGCAGCGTTTTCAGACCACGCCGAAAAAGTGTTGCTGGGTCCCTTTAACATACTCTGGAATTTGAAAACACTCTTGTGCTTCATTTCGCCTGCATCGAAACTCGGCCGCCGTGGTAGTAGTGAATCAAACTCATGTCCTCAAGCGCGCGAGACAGCTACAGCGGCGGACTCGCGTCACAGCAGGCGCACTACATACCAACCAACGTGTTGTTCCCCAAAGTTCCACGTTTTTTCTGGCCAATGTGACATCACCGTCCCATTCTGCCCGACAACAAAGGAAATAAAACAAATCTCCAAAACACGCAACACGCGTCAATAATTCTGGGAAAGCTAAACCGCTACTAAGTAAATCAATGCCCAACGGCGGCTCTCTGCGCAGGGCCTAAGCTGCAGTTGTGCAAGCTAAAGAACGAGTGTCCTTGTGAGTAACTTTGCAGAAGCACCTAGCCTCTTTAAACGCCGGCTCAAACGTCACCTGCTAGCTGCTTAAATGACGCCGAAGCGAGCGAGATGCAGCTTCCCGCGTACTGCACAGTTTTATAGCGTGGTACCATAGGCGCGGCGACAAGGGAACGGAAAGACGAGCGAACGAAAGAGTTCGCCATCGAGTCGAGCTGCCCACGCGGCCCGACTCGAATCGTCGAGTGCCCCGGCGGCGCGAGGCGACGTTCCGCCAGACACCGCCGTCATCTCGCTAATGAGCCTGACGCTGCCA